AGAAATAAAATAAGGACAGAGTAAAAGAATATAAAACAATACATAGCCTTACCAATAACACCATTCCAACTAATGGTAAAAACTAAAAGTATACTACAGCACTACATCGAGTCTTGTAAGAGGTATAAAAGTGCGTCACCTGAACAGATTTTCTTAACGTGGCGAGTGGTGGGCCAGTGAACTGTGTGTTCAGCCTACTTACAGCCGGCACTGAGGCTAAGCGATAGGTAGTGCCTGGAGATGGTGCAGCAACCACTGCATTCCCTGCTATACTATTTGGAGTGACTGCGGTACCAGCAGGTGTACCTGCTGTTGGAGGTGGCCCTACCCTTAGTAACTGATACTGTCCACTTTCAGTTTTTAGTAATATATGACCCTGAGTTCCAGGTTGTAAACCATGCAATGTTTGTAATGTTATCTAAAAATTAAAACATCAATAACAAATTTGCACAATAGATATAAAAGAAGTACTTCGTAATATCTACCAGAAACAAATCATATCAGGAAAAAAAACTAAGAAAAAAATGAAATAGATGTAAATAGAGTTGAATCACCTTTAGACTTGTATATATACATATATGTGTGTGTATATATATATACATACATATATATATACTTGTTTACAAATTGTATGTGTATATGTATGTGTCTTACCCCTGGAGCCCCAGGTCTTGTTCCAAGCATGTGTTGACCAATTACTACCCTGGGTGCGACTTGTTTCCCCGCTTGTTGCCCTGCCACTGGTGTGCCAGGACGCATTGTATTAACATTAAGAATTTGCACATTGCTGGGTACTATCGTCGACGTAACCCCAGCTTTAGCCTGTAGTGCTGTGCTGACTGCATTGCCAGCCACAGAAACAGGAACAGACATTGGAACAGAAACCATGCCACTGGGTGCTACCTAGTCTTTATCACCAAAGCTGTACCTGTCGGCTTATTTACATTAGCAACTGTTTGACTGCCTGTTTCACTAACAGAGCCGACGTTACTAACAACATTCGATGTTGTCTGTAACACTGCTTGGGACGTTATACCCAGGGTACCATTGGCTAACTGGCCAACAGTTTGTGCAGGAAACGAAAGTTTATTATTTGCATTTGCAACACCGGTGGTGGCTATTACTTGACCAACAGTAGGATAAATAATCTTGACAGGCTCATGTGTTTTTGTAAGGCTTGGTATATTCGTCGTCTGATTGCTGGTCACCTGGTTTGTAGTAACTTGATTGATATAAGCAGCAGGGGGGACTGCTGCCTGTGTATGCTGTTGCTGCTGTTGTGTAGTAACCTGTGGCGCCACTGCGTTTGAGGTAACCACGTTTACTGGGAGGAGAGTGCTCGTGGTAATGGACTTGGTTACTTCTTGAGTCATCAGACTGTTCACTGTGGTAGCACCGCCGCCGTTCGAAACCCCATGTTTCTGTGGCTGCACCGCGGTGATGGTGCCCCCGTTGGAAATACCACTGTTCACCTGATGATTCTGCTGGCTGACTGACGCAGCACTCGCTTGATGACCAGAGGCAGCCGGCGTCGATGTTACCAGTTGTGTTTCGAGGGAGCCCACTATTGCGTTCACTGCGGATTCATCGACGTCCGTGCTCAGAGCTTCCTCCAGAAACTTAGCTGACGCCATTTTCTTCCAAGCTCCAACTGTAAACTGATCTGCGCATGCGCCTGTCGCAAATTGTTCCCATGGTGCATTGCTCCCCCTCCCACTAACGCAGCTGAAAATTATACGCGGCCTCTCTTCTGTTTACTATCTTCGCCCGCTTTGTATCATTATCATTTCTCACCATTGTGAAAAGTATCGTTAACGCCTTGGTATTTGGACCACGAATTATTATGTTATACACATTTTGTACAGCGGAGAACTGATTATATCCATATTACGAGCAACGTCCCCCGTTTATGTTATGGCTGTCAATACTCGGTATGCAAACACGTCACCCGCCAAAATGGCTATCCTTGAGATTCTACATTCGTACACCATTAGTTTCTCTGTCATATTGGCGTGTAAATCGGAAAGTTTTAAAAAATATTTGTATCAAAAATTTTCAATCCCTGAGAGACCTATACATTTGCTTTCCATAAGGATACTGTTTGTAACGGTTACTTTAACGGCCTTGGTGGGGATGCTGGCATCGCTGGCATTGATATTATGAAGCGACATCTGCGCGGGAAAAGTATATAGCCAAATAATTGTAAATGAGATTTAATGATTTAGCAACGTGTACTAAGGAAAATGTTTGTTTTATTATCATAACGCATCTTCTTGTGTTACCTTATAGTTAACATAATGATAAATCGCGAACTATTAACAATACTATATACAATACATAATAATAAATATATACGTAGCAGGAAAAAATTAGAATTATGTAAATATCTATCTGTATATTTTATGTAATTCTCTTTATTCTTGGAATATGTACATTTCTTGTACAATATGAAGAATCACTTGTTATACAAACACAGTATATGCATGCGTACACGTGTACATATATATATTACAATATTCACATATGCAATTATTTTATATATTTTCTTACTAAATAACGTTGTTATGAAAACATGTCTTTTTATTCATTTCTATTGCCTATAAAATGTCTCACCTTAAATTGCAACCGTAATAAGGGTCTTGTATTACAAATTCGTCATACATTTAGTGACCAATGAGGCCAAGTGATGAGTTCGCTGTATAACGCTTCTCCCGGGCTCAAAGTCTGCGAAATTTGCCGATGTCCTAATAATTTATAATCCTTCGCAATTTTACCAAGTTCCACACCCGTTTCAATAAGCAATTCCAAAGCATACAGTTGAGTTTTAGACGGTTTTAAACTGTTAAATGTACCGATGCAGGAAATGCCTATACTTTTATTATTATACCCGAAAGAATGCGCGCCTACATAGTTCCAACCGCGGCCAACATATACAAGTCCGTCGCCGCCAACGAGAAAATTATAAGCGATGTCTGACCAGTGTCTAGATTCAATATGAAACGTTTGCGCGAACCGGACACGAAACGTACATTCCGCCTGGGTCGTGCAAAAATCGGTTACTGTATGACTGATAATCACGTACGGTACAGGAAGTTTGAGCGGTTCCAATGGCTCAGCAGCTGGTTGAGCGCCCCATTCGTCTCTCGTAACAAAACGTACCTTTGACGGTTTTTCCTCTATAATTAAAAATCATTCAGATTTGAATTATAAACAATAGGAATTTTTATTCTTGAATATATTATTGACATATGAAATAATTAATAATTATATTAACGAAGAGTTAAGAAAGTTTGCTAGGTTTTTCTAGTATGTAATTAATTACCAGATCCAGAACTCGGTATTTGCGGATAACCTGGAGTTGTTACGGTAGAAGAGTTGCGTGCGTAATAAACACTGACGATGACTACGACGGTTACAAAAAATAGGGCTAGTACAGACAAAAATGCTGAACACTGCCAAGTCCATAGCCATTTCGTTGCTAAAATGAAATATTATTATTATTAGACAAAAGTTATAGCATTGGTAACATTATTTGCTATTCTATTCTATTCTAGGTCGAGTCATAAGTAACTTCCTTTTTTTATCAGTTACTTTCCCTGATATCTCCGGTTAATTGATTGTGACGTATTCAACCTTTCTGCTATACCTCTTGTTGATTGACGTAGATTTTGCTCCAACAGTGTCTTTACAACATCGTCGTCAAAGTCGGAAGGACCTCCCGCACTCAGTTCGTCTTTTGAAGTCGTATCTCCAGAACGGAATTTTGCAAACCAATCACTAACTGCCCGATCAGTTATTAGCTCTTCACCGTATACACTGCGTATTTTTTTAGCTGTCGCCTCAGCACTGTTGCCTTGTTTAAATTCCCAAAGCATTACATGACGAATATGCGCTCTTTCACTTTCCATTTCAGAGGTTATAAAAATAGTCTAATGTAACGTGCATCACACAAAATAGTTGACAGAAAACTAATTGAATCTCCCTTATCTATAATATCTATATAGTAAAACCAAACACTTGTTTGTCCCGATAATTCATAGTGCGTAGATATGAACACTAGATACCACTTAGCTGTATCGAAAGTTACTTAAGACTCGACCTAATATATTTCGATATTATTTTATGTAGGATATTTCTAATTAATCCGTACCATTATCAACTGCATAAGAACCGAAAAATAACAAAGCTTAAATCCAAATGATAAGACCCAGAAGCCTACTGATAAAATTTGATAAAAAGGATTTCATTTACAACAACAAATTGATAATGATATTAATGAATTCAATCAATGTATAAAATAGTCATAAATACAATGATTTGTTAAAATTTAATGAACAAAATCCTTTTCGTTTCGTCAAAAGTTATATTAAACGTAATTAATTATAATCTCTTCGAAATACACAGTAAATTCACTTTCACCAACTAGTCGAGGAAATTTGTGTATATCTATTTCGAAATAACTAACGGAATGTAAACCCCGTGTGGCATTTTTATGTACAAGAAAAATGGCCCATAATGCTACGGTAGCCTGAACAAACATCATTATTTAGAATGTAAAGTTAATAGTAAGAATTATCTTGAGAAGAATCTTTACCTTTATCAGAATTTTGTGAGAAGATCGAGTTGTTTGTTGGTAAATCTCCTTTGGTCAAAAAATCAGTCGTTTTGGTATCCGATGTTCGAGTATTATCGATTTTTACCTCATCGAGATCCTGTATCGTTGGGTTTGTATAAACGAACTGCTTTATTGTTACTGGGCCCTTGTAGAAGGTTTTGTTACCAAGATGCACATTCGTCGAATTTTTCACGCGTACATCACCAAAATTCGAGGTGTCCGCATTCGGTAACACTAGATTTCCATTCGCGGAAACCACTTCTTGTTTGAATGCCGTGGGCACAGGTAAGTCGGGTACCCAATCCTCTTCGTCAGCCACCGTTTCATCATCTTCGTCATTTTCTACGTCACTGCACTGCGTAGAGGAACCGGCGAGGCTACCATTTCGGACGACGTCGATCGCGGTGTTCTTCGCAACTTGTAGTATCTCACCATAAATTTCGCTGTCGCGATTTTCAGCGGGGATGTCGCTCTCTGGGTGCTGATCCTTCTGGTGTTGGTGGTTTCCGTCCAATGTCGAGTGTTGATAATCCTGCACCAGTGTCACCATTCCCATTCACTATACGAGGAACAGAACTTGACTCAATCAAGATGCAAATATAAGTCAATTTGACAAAATGATACCATAGCAATATTTAAAAAATGTAAAAGTTATTCGAATCAATAATTAGTTACTTATGTGATAATAACGATGACTTCCTTTTTGTAATAACGCGTTAACGTTTGTAAATACACATTTGCTCCAATAAACTGTTCATTTACTTCAAATAAAGCTATTAGTAATTAATAAACTAATGATAAGATATTTAATACGATGTATGCTATTTGTATAGTTCTTTTTGTATGTGGAAAATTTTCTTTCTGCTCCTAAATTCTCAGAAATACATCGCACTTAATTATCTGTGAATTGTATGTAGAATGCCATCCGTTTATGATCAATCACATAACGATAACATCATCAAAATATAAAATTTAAGCTATCAGTGAATAACTTGCAATTTTTTATTCATTCGTATATACATAAATCATACTCATTTATAAATTACACGTAGAAATATCGTAATTATTTGCTATTTACTGTCTGCGAACATAAGTTAAATTATACTTCATTAAACTGCTGTTTAAGTGATCTATTTCATCGTTATCGAATTTGGAGATGTGTTATATACATATATACAGATTATTCTCTACATCAAAGTACAAATATACTACAAAGACAATCAAATAGCTGGACAATTAATTACGATAATTAAAAATTTTATGTTAACGAAAATATGAATGTACATAAACGTATGCCAAATGAAAAGAATTACGAGCGGAGCATTGACAAGATAATGGAAAACTGTGATAAAAATAAACATGAGGATGAATGTAACGATGATAGGAAAGAAATTTTCACTTTCCCACTGGCCCTTTAGTTAGTATAATTGCATATTAAATAAATCATACGGATGAATTACCTTTTATAAATCATTCTTCCGTTTGGCCGTAGTCACGTTGTAGGCGTTTGTTCATCAGCTCACAACATGGCGTTCTTGCAAATTAGTTTTGTTCGTTGCTCACCGGAAAAATTTCTCACGAATTCCACGGCTATTAACTGTTTGCTTACCGCACTTATGTACTAGGTAATTAAATCCTTCGATAATTATACAAATGCATGCATGCACATTAGATTTACTTTTAATCTCATATAATGACACTATGACACTATCGGAAGCAATCGGGAGCGTCTACCGCCGGTGGTACTGCGTATTTCCCAACCGAAAGTGGAATTCCCATACTAGTTAGCACGTCTCTTGCTGCTTCACTACAGAGAAAGCATGCCCCACAAAAAACTATGCTACAACACGTCGCGAGAATCGCTAAACGATTCTGATAGCGTTAACATCCTTTCGCTTGGTTCACTGTTTTATTTTCGGTTATTTCACTACTTTACATCACAGTCTTGTGACGTGCAATGAGTTTAATGAAGGACGTGACGCTGTCACTAATGCTAAAACTCTCGACTGAAGTAGGAAATTTTCAATGCTCCTACACGTTGCAGACTATGATTGGAAAAATACAGGAGAATGAACAATCGCACAGGTTGCAGATCCGTTTTCAATATAAATTGTCACTGTGGCGTCGCACAGTAAAGTGAGAAGTAAAAACGAGTAAGAGCAGAAACAAGTCGATGATACAATAATTGTTCAACGCCGGTGTTATCTTTTCGCAAGCCGTCGTTGTAATGAACTGTCGGTGCTTCATCGAACAAGCCGTGAAATTGCGTCAACCCCACTCTATATCTTTTTTCTGTCTGGTGTAACTGGAAATTCTGGCCATACATTCACGCATACGATCGTCAAATTGTAATTCTGGCTGCAACTGACAATAAGTATAGGATTCAAGCGTAACTGCAACCTGTTGCACGCGCAATTTATTCAAAAGTCCGCTGCGAGAGTGACAGACAAATTGTTCGCAATACAATAGCATGATCAAAATCAACACAGCGTGAATTATCATATCAGTAGAGAATCGAGATCTTCACGGTATTATAAATATCCAACCCAAGTAAATTTTACGTGCTGTTTTATGATTTCCTTTTTTCATTTTAATTTCCTTACTTTTCATACGCTAATCTCGTATTATCTGCTAATACTACGAGTTTGTATATACATGTACATATGTACAGAAGCTGATAACAGGTTTTGCGTATATGTATATTCAAACATTGTAAAACATCAATACATCTCGCAAACGAATCACGTATTTCGTTAACCGCGATAATCGTGTGTAACAAAAGAAAGAATGAAATTCTTATTAAATCAAATTAAGATAAGTTGTATCAGTTCCGCGCAAATAGTTAATTGGAATCATTAATGGGAACAATAATACGTGCACCGAGGTGATCAAAGACGGTGTATAAACTACTTTTCCTGGCGAAGGGAGTGAAGCTCCTTCCGTGAAGGGGAAACAGTAAAATTGGCCATTCTCTATGCCCAACTAGTGGCGCCGCCTATCTATAAAACTTGCTTTTCGTATACGAATATCTGCGCTAACGCATGCCACCTCCTCGGTGCGCATGCGTTTGCATCACGGCCACGTGCACACATGCATTTATGTGCATACATGATCTACAAAGTGCCCCACTAGTCAGGGGTATAAAATGGCTGACATCTTGGATACCCCTTCCGTCTCCCGTCACAAAACCCGGCAGGTAATGCTCTATTCTTCAGTCTTCAGGTCCACGGATGATGCACGTGATGTGCACGTGTACGTGCAACCGTGATGCTCATGTTTTTATTTTAATTTACTCTGTAACTGCGTGATCTCGCGATACTTAACGAAATTACGTACGATGTTACCTCTGATTGATCACATAGTAACTCTACTATACCTCGAAAATTTAAAACGCGCTAGTCAATCACACGTGAGAGAAAATGTATTTCTCTTTATCGTTAGAGCATAATAACCTGATTATAAGTTGAATGAACGAAGCTGGACTTAATAATGCTTACACTACAATTCGGGCAATGCGGAAATCAATTAGGACATACGTTGTTCTCGAAAATATCGTCGGATTTGGAATGCGTAAACACAGAAGTGTCGTATAACGCTAATTATCAGTATTCCGCAGACACGTTTAACAAGTGGTTTAGTGGTATATCTAAAACTAACGCGCGTTTAGCAAGAGCAATCCTTGTAGATACAGAGCAGAAAGTAATAAATAAAGTATACAATGATATCAATGTTCCATGGACGTATTCCACAAAGAATGTAATTTGCCAAGCTGGTGGTGGTTGTGCAAATAATTGGGCGTTTGGTTATTTATTAAAAGGATATGAATTAAGCGACATGGTATTGAATTGTGTAAGGCAGGAAGTAGAGAAGTTAGATCACTTTGATGGTTTCCTGGCTCTGTTAAGTTCTGCAGGTGGAACAGGTTCTGGTATTGGTAGTTATATTACAAAATTGTTACATGAGGAGTATGATAAAAAGCCAATTGTTAATACAACAATACTACCATTTTCATTTGGTGAAGTATGCACACAAAACTATAACACAGTATTAACTTTGGCAAAACTTTACAATGAAAGCGATCTAAACATTTTCATTGAAAATGAACAAATATATAACATATGTACAAACTTGTTAAAGAAATCATCTACTAGTCTGTATGATATGAATGACGTTATCTCTGAGAAATTATTAGGTGTATTTCAGCCTACAAGTTATGTGAAACACAGCATGAATGCGATACTATCACAAATAGCATGTCATCCTTCATACAAAATAGCAACAATAAGAAGTACCCCACATGTACCTCCAACAGTTCTAAAGTATGAGCCTATGTATAATTGGAATTCATATATACGGCACTTAAAGGAAACACTGAGGATACCAAATTTCAATTCACAGTTAACTAATGCTGAATTAAAAGTGCCATCTAACTCATTAGGCGATACTGCACATCATGTATACACCTGTTCAGTATCAAATATTTTAATAACACGTGGATTAGTAACAGAACAAGACTACGTAATAACTGATGAATTTAGGGATAAACATCTATATGCAGAATGGAATACAGTTGATTGGTTTTCTCATTCCCATCAAAATCGGAAGCTCTTGAACTACAATAAATTTCTTGCCTTGATCACGAACAATTCTAAAATTTCTGATTTCCTAGATACACTTTTAAATAAAACTTGGAAGTCTTACGTTCATTCTGCATACCTACATCAGTATAAACAGTTCGGTCTAGAAGATGACGACTTTCTGCAAGCGTTTGCAGTACTTGAAAATGTTTTAAAGGAATATAGAGAACTGATTCCTCATGTAAAAAAGTAATGAATCTGTAAACGAATAGAAATTTCATGTTCTAGTTGAAATTTTAATCCCATGCATCAGTTGACGTCATAAATTCAAATATTACGTATATGTAAACGTCAAGAGCACGAATGAAAGGGTAACTATGACGTCACAAAAGAATCGATAGCATGTGCGTGTATGCGTCAAGAGATTTAAGGGAATATGATGAATGAAGATAAGATTGATAGAAAATAATAGTTAATTCGTAATATACCGTTGAAGTAACTGAATTTGTAAACAGTAAAAATAAAACAGAACGTGCTATAAATATGTTAATAGTACATTCCTCCTACAATCCGGAAACGCATATTCTGCGCCTGTGCAAGAGGGTAGCTGAATCTGCAAACACATACAACGCGGAAAGAAAAAGTTCTGACCATTTCCAAGAACTGCTGAAAATATTTCCAGGAATCTGCGCTTCTCTATTCTCCCCTACTCTGCTGACTCGTAGACAATCAAAAATATAGAGATAGAACATTTCTTGGTAATACGCTTTCACATTTTACTGTCAGAATACAACAAAATACATTATTTAAACGTTTTATATACTTTACATATATTATTGTGAATAAGTTATGTATTAATATTTATTATGAAAATATACAATACAAAGATAATACTTTAAAATATTCTGTTTGCAAAATTTTGTTATTACAGTACATGGTATTTTTAGATTTTAAAAATACTGCTTTTACTAAATGGGTAGACGAAGGTTCTAGTTTTGTACGCGTTATGTAAAGGTACGGGAAAATAGAAAGAATCTGTAGGGTAGAGAATACTATACAAATAAGGACGGATGTATTATCCGTACCGTTCTCTAGCATCGGTCAAGCGTTACAGGTACATAGGTAGATACATACAAGCACACGCTGTTTGTCAGAAACTCGTTTGCTGTTCCTTCATCGTCCCCACTACATGTCCTAACTCCCGAGAACACCTCTAAGATTAAGTAAATGGTCTCCACTACTAACCTTCCGAATCTAACAATGGTAAATACATAGAAGAAGCCTTCTGCAGATGAATATATTTCCTATCGAAACGATATAGAATGTATAGTATACAAAATGGTCTTCGACGAAAACATTGAAAGGGAGAAGATGCAGTGCTTCAGTACTTTAAGTTAGCGATTTTTCATAACGCGGGGTTGAAGCAAGTACATAGCATGTAAAGCATGTAAAGTAGTGGCGCTACCTAAAATGTACAGGGACGCACGTGCTCTATGAATTTATTGCCTCGGTAATTATTTTGCAACACGTTAATTATATCAGCTTACAGAGGCAATTGATCATTAGATAACTGAAGTTGTTATCACAACAGAAATATGCGAATTCGTAGTCATGAATAGATATGTACTTAGCTATAGATTTTTCAAAACATGTATGTGCATCCCTACAACCTGTGCAATGGTTCACGTTCACGGACGCATACGATGAAAATTGTATATGATAGTTGGTAGTATTCGTCTCCAATACAAAGAGGCGTGGTTTGAATAGACGGGACCTGTTCGGTACTTTGTCCCCTTCTGCTGAGTATAGAGTATATAGAATCCTTACTCACACAGGCACGTGGATAAAACACAGGCGCGCTCTGGCGTCGAAGCCGTGGACGATCGTACGCGCCATTTTGTTTAGTGTCCGCTGGACGCGTCGTGCGTCGGGGTGTTGTAGGGTTGTTTTCATGACCGCGAACGAAAATAGATCCGCGGCTCTCCTCCACTCGGCTTTTAATATAGACGACGTTTTTAATTGTGGCGTTACAGTTTATACAGTGAAAGATATCGTACGTTTTTCTGCATGATTATCGTGAGGTGCGACGCAAGGATACGTTTTTTAAGGACACAGGACTCTCTGATGCCTATAGTGTCAGACTTGGCAATTGCAAAGACTGTTGCAAATGCATGGCGCCAGTCACAATTATTTTATGGATACTTCGTAGGGAATCACCGCAGCCGCCGTCGTTCTCGGCAGATATTTTTTCTCTAGGTAAGCGAGAAGAGGGGTTGTCTGCGAGCTTAAATCGATAAAGCGTCTCCCATACTCTCTCTTCCTCTTCCTTCTTCCCTGTTTTCAAGCACGAAGCTTCACGTTCCGTGCCGTCCTGTCCGAGCAGTTTCTATGCTTCATGCTCCGACGAGTTTTTCGTGCCGAATGTCGTGAGCGTTTAACCACGATAGTGTTTCGCTTGTGCAAGCCACTCGAGGAAAGTGAAAGCCCATGGTTCCCGATCGTTCTGCATTGAGCACAGATCTCATTCCGTCCGTCACAGCGGTGCACGTTCCCGTGCGCCTTTTTCAATGATTCAAGCGTCATTCGGCACAAACATTCGGCACTTTGAACTTATTACGATTTCCTGTTTATTGAATGTACCTACTACCTTGTGCATGAATGAAACAATCCTTCATTTACTATATGAATAGATTTCTCAAATATTCAGTTCGTTCGTAATTAAATAGAAGTTTTCTTATAAATAACGTTAACTCCATTTAACTTTGAAATAAGTTTCAATCTTATCTCAATTGTTTCCGATCTTCAGCACCAGTAAAATACTAAAATTGGGTACTGGTATTCAGAGTGTTTATAATTTACTAATTGTTATTCGTACAATTTCTAAGGAAACTTGTTTCTCTATTCAACTTGTTTCATATAATCCATGTACGTTTATGGAGTACAATCTTGATAGCGGGATTATTCTCGTAAAAATTGCGTAAAGAACTTAGCAAATCTTGCATCAAGTTTTTCTAGCGCGTTTCTTATACAATATTGCACGTGTCCTTGAACAGGTAGATCGTATTAGATTTCATTTTAATCGAAATGTTCGAAAAGCAATTGTAGTGTTCTCGTAACGAAAACAACTTTTTATGCAACATTGATAAAATAATTAGAATTATGTTAGAACTGTGTTGTGTTTAGCGATCACTAATGCTACAGTAGCGTCGCGGTCACTTAATTTATCGAGTGATTTCAATGCTAGGATGTGCAGCAGATCTCTGTATTATTCTAATGAAGCATTCAACACCACGTGCATTGCGCATACAAATATGCATATGATTTTTCAATGAAAACGAAATTTTAACTTAACTCCGCATTTTTACAATAACAATAAATCCTAATAGATTTTTTAAATTCTTAAATAAAATTCATTGCTTCTTCAATATTGGAAAGTATTTTTAGGATATCTTATGAAAGGTTACTACAGCCCTTCTAAATGTAACGAAGTCACGCACACCTACACATGTGATGAACGTCTAGAGGATTGAAGTTGACGTAATATATTCTGTTAGCTTTATTAAATTTGCCGCTTTAACGAGTTAGTCATTTCTTCTAAATACCCTAATCTGATCTAGATGTACATTTTCCAACATAGATCTTACTGTATTGGAACATTGAGCATCGATATTTTAACGTGCTTGCACATTAGGATTATGGTCAGCGAAGTGATAAATCAGGATAGACAAATGAACACCCTTCTTATTACAATTCGTACCCTAACGTCACCCACAGGAATAGTCTGTCGAAGAAACGAAGGGTGCAACGTGTTCACTCTTTTGGAACATCGATCTGTTAACTCTGGCAAAAATTTCAGCAACCCTTTCGTTGTAACACGTAAAGGCCGAAGTCCTTGAACGATGGCTAGCAATATAACGTGCATTTCACAAAACAAATCTTAAATAATATACGAAACTTTTGAAATAATTGAATATACGGTTCATACATAATCAAAATCATTTCATTGTCGAAGCTTTTTCATGTTTGCTTTTATCTAAGCGAAGGAGTATTGCTGCTAGCAGGTTTAGAAGGTTTCAAGGGCTAGCATGCTAGAGACTACCTAGGCACGGGCACAGGTGTTTTGGATTAACCCAAGACACGCCTACGAATGACTCACTAGGTATAGAGAACTCCGTATTCTCTTCTTTTGCTTTTTGTGGCATGGAGGATGCCCTACTTGTTCCAACACCTGATCGAGATTTTTTATAGAACTGCTCTAGGTATTCAATCAGTCCACGTGTTCCATGTAGTAGTTTACGATCAGCATTACAATTTATAATTAAATGGACAGTATGTGTTATTCTATATTCAAATATGTAAAGACGGTTTGGCCCGAGGAATCTGCACGAAAAATAAAAGCATGAAGTTTGGTATGCGACGGCCGCATACCACACCTCTTACTAGATCGGCATTCCATTGAACCCAACCTCCCCATGTTATGCCAAAGGTAATTTCTTATTCGCCATTTCTCCTCTTCATCCTGTCTTCGCTCTCCGTAACGCGGTATTAGATAACGTATCCTTTAACAGTTTACTCTGCACGTGATAACAATCACGCAAACATAGTTGTTATTAGAACTATATGAGATAGTTATAATGAATTTTGTTCCAGGAACGGAACACGGAATAATAAGGAGCTATGCGAACTCCTGCCGAGACCGAGACATTGTCTCAACCTGAGATGTACAAATTCGAATCTCAGGAAATGGAAGCGTCGTCGGGCGTCAATCAAGTAGTTTTATCACCGTCGCATCCCGAGACGCATATATTTACTAATAGGTGAGTGCGTAATAATTCTGAGTGAATACGTATTTGAAACAATTCGCTTTGCAATACGCGCGCACGGTTACGCATGCGTATTGTTTATTAGCACGGAAATTAAAACCGGAGTACTCGTTCTTCTTATAAAATCATCTATGATTCCGATTCCGATAACATTCATTTGTCTATCGTAAGAGATATTCGATATTGAATTATCATTCACCTGCAATTACAATACGACGAACAATACATTGTATACATCGTTTAATCGTCACGTCTCGTCATATGAAACGAGATAAATGAGGCCCTCTATCGGGTAACCTGTCAGTTCGCGACATGTCTCGTGTTTGCGTGCATCTCGTATAATTTGAGCGTACTTACCTTTTAATTTTTCGCGCAAACGCTAAATCAGTTTGGCATGGTTTTATGACGCTTTCCCTGAGTGCGTAAGACGAGGGTACTGTTAACCATATGCAACGCGTGGTACGATGGTGTTTACTCGCTTTTTCCTCCGGAAGACGCAGAACGATGATACGGTCGTTCCAAACAACGTCGGTACAAGGAGGTGAGCATGAAGGCCAAGTCGTCGGAATGTGCCTCCGATAACGGCACCATCGTTGGCGGGTTCGATCTTGTCCTTGTACTAACACAAACTCGCATTAACAATCTTTCGAATTTATCAGATATTTATGTCGCGGCCTTGGTTAACGACCACACGGTCCGTGCGGTTTCACCTTCCTCGTGTTTCATTAAATGTATGCTCATTACGCCATTCGAGCATCGTCGACAAATATTTGCCCAAATAAGGAATTATTACCAAACGATAATAGTAAAAGATGCACAACGTCAAACTAAAGTACACTGCAAATAAACTTGTGTTTGCGCTTGATTCGCGATCGTAAATTTTATGTATGACAACGGAGTACAAATCGTTTAATAAAATCATGTCAACGATTAGCGTGCGTGAATCCGATGCGAAACTTTGAAATGCATTGTTTATGGATATCTCGTTTTCAATAAGTAACATGTTTTATGCATAACTCATGCAGACAATGATTAATGATTATGTCGATCGTTTCTTGTGACAATCAAATTTGATGAATGAAAAGATTTTTATGTCCCTAAAAAATTGATGTGGCATTTTTACATGATTGAAATTTACGAGCTGATTCACGTGTGGAGTATGGAAAATGAAAGCCATTAAGGGAAGCAAGGACTTGGTTCAACCAAAGTAAATGACACTCTGAATGAGAATTTAATGGCAGTCATTTAGTATTCTTAATTGTCTACAAGTACTGCAATATATCTACTATTGTTTAGCTCAAAATCGTAGTATATACTTTTTCATACGCATGTATATTAGCAATCAATAAAATTAGAAACAGCTGAAACCCTGTGACACATATGTTTGTATAATTGTGAGCCAATCATATTTTTTTCAATTGTTAATGATGTTATTGCAAACATCTCTTATGAGGAACTGATGCAACAAGTATGAAAACCAGGCAATTCGATATAATCGATTCGAAATTAAAATTTTAATACAACTTAATAAAAATGAAAATGAATGAGAAAGCTGATTATACTTGGTAATTTTTTAGCGTACGTCGCGAGGTAGAACCGAAAGAAATTACGCACATTATCGATCATACGTAGATAGAGGCATGTAGGAGAGACTTTCACTAACACATCGCGCTTTCCATACCATTTTTAATCTACACATGAATCAACCGTGCCCGACCTTGTACACTTTGCTCAAGGTTTATATCCTCCGACGGATAATTTAGACGCGATTTAAACCTTTCGAAATATCTCTCCACATTTTCATGCTCTGATATAGAAAAATACTTTAGTAGATAGCTTGTCGTACATTTTGACTTTGTTTTATCATAAAAAGCAATATTCGTCGTATAAGGAATTCGAACAGTTCCATTTCCTATGAACGTCACTTTTAGGCCAGACAGTTTAATAATTTATCCGTCACTTTTAGGCCAGACAGTTTGATAATTTAAATTATTTATTGCAGCATGTTATGTATTCAAGAAGAATTGGGCCAGCTGAGTGGAATCGCGGGTGGTCCTATTATCACAGATTCACGTGACGCTCAATTACCCAATAACAATCATAGTAATTCGGGAAGCAATAGTAATTCCAGCGAAACTGCGACAAAATGTACCCCGGGTTCTGGAACGTTGGATGCACAGAGGTCCAGCTGGGTGGAGGGTATACTAGGATGCATGCGCCCAGTTTGGACCATGCTTTCAAAGGCAGCTGTAAATGAGAAAATTAAAGGACATCAAAGTAAGAAATCGTCATCTCTTTGTATGATGCGCCGTTTATAATATTTATGAGAACGGATTTATTTTAGCGGAAGATTGGGAAATACCATTTGAGTCGATCAGTGAACTCCAATGGCTCGGGTCTGGAGCTCAGGGTGCAGTATTTAGTGGAAAATTAAATAAGGAAGTTGTAGCTGTAAAAAAAGTACGAGAACCGCGCGAGACTGATATACGGCACTTACGCAAATTAAATCATCCAAACATCGTTCAATTTAGGTAATTAATTCTATTGATTTCACAGTTGCAAAGACATTGACAGTGTAAATTAAAAACTTTTGAATGCATTTCCAGAGGTGTTTGTACACAAGCCCCTTGCTATTGTATAATTATGGAATTCTGTCCGTACGGGCCACTGTACGATCTTCTTAGAGCGGGAGAGCCGGTTCCACCATCTAGATTAGTATCATGGTCGAAACAAATCGCTGCTGGAATGGCCTATCTTCACGCACATAAAATTATACATAGGGATCTTAAAAGTCCAAAGTACCATCTTTAATTCATTATAGTAAAATTGATATGAAACTTGTTATCGACAAATTTTAGCTGATACCATAAAAATGTATCCTTTCAGTGTATTGATAGGGCAAGAGGAAGTTGTGAAGATTAGCGATTTTGGCACCAGCCGAGAGTGGAATGAAATTAGTACAAGAATGAGCTTCGCCGGTACAGTAGCCTGGATGGCACCAGAGATAATCAGAAACGAACCTTGTTCTGAGAAAGTTGACATCTGGTCTTATGGCGTGGTGTTATGGGAACTTTTAAGTGGAGAAATACCATATAAAGACGTGGACTCTTCTGCAATAATTTGGGGCGTGGGCAATAATTCTTTACATTTACCAATTCCCGCGAGCTGTCCAGAGGGTTATAGATTGTTGGTAAAGCAATGTTGGGCCGCGAAACCACGGAACAGGCCCTCCTTCAAGCACATTGAGATTCATCTTGGCATTGCGGCGGATGAGGTGCTATGCACGAAACCTGACGAATATTTCAAAACGCAGGTGAAGTAAGATTTAACAATTGGTACAGCTGAAATTCATTGAAGTACTTAATGATTTTTATGATTATAGCAATCTTGGAAAAAGGAGATTAGAGATCATTTGAAGCAAATGCAAACAAACAGTTGCAGTAGTCCACGATTTGAAGCTGATCTCATTAGACGTCGCGAAGATGAACTAAGACACGCTCAAGATATACGAGAACACTATGAACGAAAACTTGAAAGGACTAATAATTTGTACTTAGAACTAAGCGCTGTTTTATTGCAGTTGGAACAGCGCGAACGAGACGTAATCAAGTGAGTAACGAATTAACATGAGTTAAAAGATGATTGATAAATAAATAATTTTCTTGATCATTTAGACGGGAACAACAAAGTGGATACAAGCAATGTAAAAAACGTCTTGTGCATCCTCTCTTGAAGGCTCAAGAAAGACTTCATCGTAGACGCAACCCCACCACTCAATTCTCAACATCGTCCACTCCGACCACACCACCGTCTCCGACGGACTGTCCACAAACTCCTGTGAAAGCTACTATGTACACACAATTAAACGAATCCAATCAACCGGAAACAATCTTAGCATCCAACAATAGTTTTAAACAACGGAAATACAGGCATCGTAGGGTAGGCTCTGGATGTGGAGTAAATTCTACCCCGCGGTCGAGTCCTCATCGTGAAAGAAAAGTAAATATTCGACATAAAGATGTACACCGTTTTTTACTTGAAGTAATTTTGTGTATTTATTTATTTCCAGAGCACGGAAGTATGTGCACGATTCGTTGATAGTCAAACGCAAACAGATATGATGGATATCAGCGAAACTGATTACAATTCCGTTAGTCATACAACAGCAATTCCAGAAAGAGCAGAGAGGCTTTCTATAAATAGCCTTAACAAACAATCCTTTAATAAACAAATACCGGAACCTTTGAATGGGAACTCAGTTTTATCCGAAGCTCACTACAGAATGCAATCTAGTCCTTGTTCCAGTCCTGAACCGTCGAATGAGAATCGTGTAAACGGAAATGAACGTTTAAAGGACTGTAGCGATGATGATAATCTTGAAACTCTTGGCCGAAAAGTTAGTGAAATTATCAATGCTAATCGTCTCATTTCTCCTATTGATAATGGAAATTGCGATGATGTGATACAACACAGGTAAAGTATATTTACACGTATATATAAGATATATATACATGTATGCGCGTATCTAAACGTTTGAATATATTAATTTTTAAATGATCTAATCAATTTCAGGAATAAAGAAGACTCCGTTAGTAAGTTATCTGGACATTTTTGTGGTATTAATATGATTAATGGTACCAATACGTCGCAAGAACAGTCGGAAATTAAATCTCGGCCATGTTCCGAAAATATGGACACGTTACGTGATCGTGAAGACGATGCATATGAAGAAAGTTGGTCGGATGAAGAAGGTGAAGATCCAAGCTATACATACAACTATTCCCTTAGAAGAAGAAGGTATAGTTCAGTTTTTTTTAAGAAACGTATGATGCATACACAACTTATGCGATTAACAATTTATTAACTTGATTTCACAGCATTGCCAGAAGGCCAATTGGCCCTGGATGTAGATTAAGAAGATTTAAGCACGCAACAGTACGAATAGATGGAGTATTAGCTTCTGACGAAGAAAATACTTCTGAATATTCACATCCTCCGTCCAGTCAATCCTCTACGTTAGAAAGTAATCCCGATATGCAAAGAGTATTTCGTAATATTCATTATTCACATAAGGTAAGTGGCAATCATTATGAATTATTTAAACTAATTATAAAAGTATTATACGTTCTTTGTTTTTACTCAGAGGAAAGGAATAGATGACGTTTCTGATATGTCAAGTCAATCAGAAACAGATGAAGTCAGTGAGATTACAATTGCATCTCAGCCAGCAGGTGCAAATTTAAAGATAGAAAGTAGCGTCTAGATTAGCACTAACGAAATATTTATATCTCATTTACGAGTGATATAAGATAAGTACCGAACAGCCAGTGCATTTTTGTAGCGTAATAGCATCCTGTGTTAAATATTGTAGATATTTATCCATTTAAGGTATATGTTAGTGTACATGTACATTCATTTTACACATTATTTATCAACGACATATTCCAATCACGTTGCACGATTATCCAGAAAGTTCTCCGCATCAAGTTCTGAAATTCAGATTCAAATGATTTTTTTCAAACACCTGGTATCTATCAACAGTCAAGCGAATGAAAATCTGTCATTACTTATGGCACGATTTGCTCTGCGCTATGCAGAATGACAGTCGCATGAATATTTGTTCTAGGAAAAAATGAAGTATAGATTTATATTTTCAATAGATTCACAAAAACATGTGTAGCGACATGTTACTTATATAGTATTAATTGTAAATACGTACATACATACATCTACACTTTCGTATGAAAGAAAAGAACGATCATTATTTCGTGAATTATTCATTCCATAATTTTTTTACCTTTTTTTATGGTTCCTTTTTAATAAATATATCAGCTAAATATGAATTTATTACCTTATACATATACGTTGCATTTATTTCATATTAAGATAGTAACAAGAATCATTCCTATAATGAGTATAAAATTGATCATTGTTTACTTTGTTTCGTGCGTAAAAATAAGATCTACTTGAATGTAGAGACCAATTAAAAATAAAAGTAAAAAAAAAAAATAGTAAACTCGCATATTATACGCTAGTTCACAAGGAGATATTGTTTATAAATTCAATAACGAACTCGTAAAATAATAAGTGTTGCATTAGGAAAATATACTTTGAAAAATGATATAGGGAATATGTAATGGAATGACAATTATTAAATAAATTTTACATTATAAGTGCCTACGGCAATTTGCATAAAATACACCAAACACTAACTGTTAAACGAAGACAAAAATTAATTAAAAACAATCCGTGCAATAGGAAACAATAAAAGCTTGTAACTGGAAATAGAATTCAACTATTCTGATAGAATTATATACGAATAATATAATACACTTGAGATATTACTTAAGAGTATTTTAATGGAACGAAGTCATTAAATATTTTTGATGTGCTAAAACTTTTACCGATATTCTCACTACAGATGTACAATGTACAAGAAATTTTATCGCTTCATTTCGATAAATAAATGAAAACAGGAATCTAATTTAATGACTATGTTTAAAATAGTACTATAATATAAGTTGTATTATAATATAGTCGAAAACAATGCAGGTTGTCTGAGTTTCAAACCGAAACTCAACAATAGTATTGGACTCTGTGGAAAAGTCATACTCAATTCTTTCAAATTAATAAGTATTGCAATTACATATACAAAACTAGATGATATTGTTTGACTCAAATGTCCAAAGTACTGTTCTGCATCCATCTATTGTACCTGCTTTGAAACTCAAATTGCCTTAATGACAATTATTATACATTGTAAATATAGACAATACAATGTAAACTTAAGGAGATAGTGATTAAAATATGGTATAATATTTTGATGTGCTCATTTGGACGAAGTAATAATTAAGTTATAGTACAAAACATGTACTTTATATTAATCGTACGTATTGTATCAATATATTTATGCGTGTAGATGCATAAATTGTTCCTTGTGCAGTGGCAGCTAAATTGACTAGTTCTATTATTATTATATAATAGAAGCAGTACACGAAATTTGTCATATAAAGAAATAAAGTTGATTTACAGTAATCAGTATATTCTGTTTAATTACAGACCTTAATAACATACAAATTGTTCGATACTTTGGTTTTGTCAAGAGAAAATAATACAATAAATGTTTGCACAGCCTATTTTTAATAATATAATATACTAGCAAAAGATTATTCTAAATACAATGAAATAGATCAGTTCTTTTCATACATACATGTCAATTAAATAATGTATGGTAATGAAATATTAGTCGAAAGAAACTGTTTCATGTAGTAGGAATCCTACCTTCGTATATATGGTACATGTATATGTATATTTTGTACAAGACCTGAACAGTTAATTTACATTCAGTAAGTAATAAATACAATGCCTCTTTTTATTCTGTTATAGAACTTGAAACCGATTGAAAGAGTGATCATATCACTCTGTTTAATTACAAGTTTTAACACAAAACAGATATATGTCAAAAGAAAACATAAAATATTGACATCAGATCTTACTATTATAGATACTATCAAATATAACAAAAACTAAAGTTATACACCGGCATTGCCATTAAATATTTCGTCTTTCTTTAAAATGGTTCTTCATAATTAGCATTTATAAGTGTAATAATAGATACATTGAAAACTAAGTAACTTCAGACATAACTTAATGAATCGTGTAAGATCGTATTATCAGCTCATTAGTAAAAATTATTTGAATTAAAAATAAAAATATCTGTTTACAGAATTAAAATTTGTATTTTTATTAAATCGCTTGCTGATAATGGAACAGGAAAGAATTACGCGTAGGATATTAAAATTTACCAGTAAAATGAATTTTGGAGAAATTCGGTAGTGGATTTGTACAATGATGAAGCACCTTGTCTTAAGCCAGTAAGTAACGAGACAACACCTTCTTTCTCGTCTTCTTGCTCGTCTTCCTCAGGTAAATATTCTGGCATATCTTCAGTGTCGTTGTTTCCAGTATGGACCTACAAATTGCATATAAAATATGTACAACAGATATTCCATAACAGTAAGATATTCCATAATCCAATAAATGTTTTATCTACACCTACCAATTTAACAAGGTACTCTTGATTGAATTTATTTCTTGTCACTAATCTCGCTTCCATGTTTTCTGAATTTTTCTGTATAGCTTCAGCGATCTGTTTCGCAGTGACATAACTTAAACTACGCATTGTAACACGCTGGTGTTCTACATCAACTACAAGAGAAACTAATCCATTGATTCTTATTAGTATTGCCTCTAATTCTGCACGGGTTTCCTATTTCATGTATATAGTCATTATAAGATATTACATAAACAAAATTAAAATACATCCATACAATGTTTGCACAGCCTATTTTTAATAATATAATATACTAGCAAAAGATTATTCTAAATACAATGAAATAGATCAGTTCTTTTCATACATACATGTCAATTAAATAATGTATGGTAATGAAATATTAGTCGAAAGAAACTGTTTCATGTAGTAGGAATCCTACCTTCGTATATATGGTACATGTATATGTATATTTTGTACAAGACCTGAACAGTTAATTTACATTCAGTAAGTAATAAATACAATGCCTCTTTTTATTCTGTTATAGAACTTGAAACCGATTGAAAGAGTGATCATATCACTCTGTTTAATTACAAGTTTTAACACAAAACAGATATATGTCAAAAGAAAACATAAAATATTGACATCAGATCTTACTATTATAGATACTATCAAATATAACAAAAACTAAAGTTATACACCGGCATTGCCATTAAATATTTCGTCTTTCTTTAAAATGGTTCTTCATAATTAGCATTTATAAGTGTAATAATAGATACATTGAAAACTAAGTAACTTCAGACATAACTTAATGAATCGTGTAAGATCGTATTATCAGCTCATTAGTAAAAATTATTTGAATTAAAAATAAAAATATCTGTTTACAGAATTAAAATTTGTATTTTTATTAAATCGCTTGCTGATAATGGAACAGGAAAGAATTACGCGTAGGATATTAAAATTTACCAGTAAAATGAATTTTGGAGAAATTCGGTAGTGGATTTGTACAATGATGAAGCACCTTGTCTTAAGCCAGTAAGTAACGAGACAACACCTTCTTTCTCGTCTTCTTGCTCGTCTTCCTCAGGTAAATATTCTGGCATATCTTCAGTGTCGTTGTTTCCAGTATGGACCTACAAATTGCATATAAAATATGTACAACAGATATTCCATAACAGTAAGATATTCCATAATCCAATAAATGTTTTATCTACACCTACCAATTTAACAAGGTACTCTTGATTGAATTTATTTCTTGTCACTAATCTCGCTTCCATGTTTTCTGAATTTTTCTGTATAGCTTCAGCGATCTGTTTCGCAGTGACATAACTTAAACTACGCATTGTAACACGCTGGTGTTCTACATCAACTACAAGAGAAACTAATCCATTGATTCTTATTAGTATTGCCTCTAATTCTGCACGGGTTTCCTATTTCATGTATATAGTCATTAAAAGATATTACATAAACAAAATTAAAATACATCCATACTGTTTATATTTACCGGCAATAAACCTTGGACATGTAACACTATTACATGAGTCTTGAGCTTCTTAGGCTCGATTACTCTTCTGCACTTGCTTCGTAAATTGTATATCGGCGGTTTCATTCTCTCGATATCGTCTTTTATGCATTGTGCTCGCTTAGAAATCTTTGGTTCGTCTATACTATACTTATTTATAACGGCATCTAAAGCTTCACGTACGCCGAAGGTGGAAGTTATATGTACATAATTATCTACATTCTTAACGAACAGGTCCAATATATCTAAACCCAAATTAACGATCTCGAGATCGGGTACTTCTAAAATGTATGCCACGTACGACAGGACCGTTTTATCCTACAATTAATAAAATTACGACATAAAGTATGCGAATACGTTCTACGACGTTTTCCTTACCTTCAATATCGTGTCATGGTTTGCAAAGTCGATCGCTAATTTCTTGTATGTTTCGAGGGTTACTTTTATTTCTTTCGGATCTAAGGAATCGTCCATGTCCATCATCTAAAAGCGTAATGTTGACATTAACTTGCTCTTAGACCAACCTCATTAGAACAACAAAAAACTTCCTCCTTCACTCTATACAGTTAGCCATTCCCATTGATATTTATGGATATCAAAAGGCTAATCAATTTTCGTCAATGGTGTTATTCAAAACAATTAGCAAAAGCAACACACGTTTCGGTTCAATACGTCCACTCAACTGGTTTGACAAATTTCAGAGGGTAGATTTTACATCAATGGATCATATCCTTGGATAATTACTTTGTGTATCTACGTATAACAAGTTTGCAACGACTTTTATTTTAACATCTTTAAGAAAGCTTTACTACTGTCTTCAAATGGGAAATACGGGAATACAACTTTCATGTATACTATAAGCATGTATGAGTTACTAACACATGCGTTTGTACGTATGTTTCCTGCGATAGTGGGGATCGGGGATTACAGTTCGGCTATAAAAAGGAGCATCCTGCAAACTACAAGACTACAGGCAAAGTGCAACGGAGTGCAACGACAGTAATGTTGCTGGAAATATTGTAGCAGGCGGTTCTTGGGATTCTAGCTGGTCAAGCTTCCTGGGTAACCTGAGGATTCTTGCCTATTCCGGATAATTACTCTTAATTATTCTTAATAATTATTCTTAATTTTCTCAATTGTTTATTACTTGTTCTGAAAAACTGCCTCGTGTGTCTATTACTCAGCATATATGTATATTCGTATATGTAGTCACTAACATGTACGTAATTACAAAATATCTGGAGTTTGTTTAAAATTTCAGAAAATAATCGTGCATTTAGATAAAAATAGAATTGGTTTTTAATGAAAAGAGAGAATAAGTGTATGCATAGACAGAGGCACCTATGTACGCGTCGCGGGCGTGCCTGTACAATCACGTGTGTATAAAATACGTGTAATACACGTATATGATTGTAATAGATGTACCAGTTTTACTCTGTTATGTAGTAATAACAACAACAGTCATGCTCGTGCTACAAGCAGCTTGAAGCAGCTGCTGGCAACAAATTATTCGGATGACGCGCATATTGTACAACAGTAGCGAAACTGACGTCCACGCAACGTACTAAAATAAGATGGCTGACATTCACTCCATCAGCTACCAACAGCATAACACCCGTATTACCTTTCCAATGAGCTTCTTTCTTGCTTTACGCAATCGAACGCTTTAAACATTTATCGGTGCCATCTCGAATACTTGTAGAAACAAACCGATGAATATACAAAAACGGACGATTGCTAAGAGTATTAGGGAAGTTAAATAAAACAGCGTGTAAAGTAAGAAACGTATACATTTGACGTATTTTCAAGTACACACGTACAGGTGATTGTTGATAAAGTGTGCTTGTGGAAAGTGTATATTGATTGTTAAAACAATGGAATACGTACTCATCAAAGACATACGGCCGGGCCAGAAAAACATTAACGTGGTGTTTATTGTTCTGGAAGTTGGTCATCCTACTATCACCAAAGAAAACCGCGAAGTTCGGACGTTTAAAGTGGCGGACAGTACGGCATGTATGAACGTTTCGATTTGGGACGAGCCTGGACAGCTCCTGGTACCAGGCGATATTGTAAGATTAACGAAAGGATACGCGTCCGTTTGGAGGCAGTGTTTAACGCTGTACTCAGGGAAGAATGGGGACATACAAAAGATCGGAGAATTTTGCATGGTAATCAATGAACAGTTAAACATGAGCGAGCCAAATCCTGCTTTAGCGCAACAAATGATTAATCAAAGTGGATCTGGTCCACCTGGTAGTAACGTTAACAATAGCATTACAAATAACGGTAATGCAAATAATATCGCTGGCCAACCTGGAAGGCAACCATTGGTATGTCATTCTGAAGCGTTGCATTCACCATACTGCTTTTATTAAAACTGATATCAACTGATTTTATTAGGCAATTCAGGCTAATTCTACGACAGCTGCTAGTGGCACATCTGGTAGTACTACGATGACAAAAAGTGGAAACAATAATAACAGTAGTAGTGGTGGAAATAATGGTAGTACTTCAGGACTTCCTGGTGGATCTGCAAGATATTCTGGTGACTCTGCAACGAAAACAACAGCTACAACAAAGACTAACTCTCGCGGTCGCGGAGGGTACAGAAACGGTGGACGTAGCGATCGTAGATAACATACAAATAAGAAATTGCTTATTATATATATGTAATAAAATAACTAAAGTACATTCAGATTGACTGTAATATACTGCTTTTCGAATAATCCTGTATATGTGTATTCAACAATTAATGTATACAGATAGAGTTTCTTTATAAGACAACATGGTTCGAAGACAATCTGATTAAATAATATAATAGAACCATGTTCATTCATTTGTGATTTTCTCCATTCGAATCCACGGTTTGTCTTCGAATCATGATACAAGTATCAAAATCATATTCCAATAAGTGAATGTAATATAACTGTATAATCTGTCTAATTTAATTAATAGATAATTTCGTTTGCTAATTTTTTAAAATATATTTTATAAAGTAAAAGACAAATGAATACGTGTACATATAACTTATTGTATAAGATAGCCATTTTTAAGCTATGAAGAATTTTGAGATTTAAATATTTACACATGTTTTTTATTTGACCTTCTTATTCAATGTAAATTTACTTTAAAATAAAAACTTACGACTATTGACCTTTTATGTTTTTACTAAACGTGTTAAATAGAGATCTAAATATTCACATTTCTTATTATGCTATTTACCGCTATTAACTTAATTTGAGTAAAAGCTTATCATGGCAATAAATTTAAAACTGATAAGAAAATTTCCGGAACAATATTTATCTGATTGCGGTGTACCACATTCCCGTCACTCTGCTATAGCTTCTAGGTTATGTTTATACACGTCTTCACACTTATATGGTGTATCACATCGAAGTAAGTGATAGTGAAATGATTTTAATTTTATTTCAGTTTCATTGGTGTCATTAATAATTTCAAGTGTGCTGTAAACTTACAGAATGAATATAATAATTTGTTCGTCGTCTTTGTACGACTATTTCTATTTTTAAACATTGTGATCTGATAACAGATGTCTAATGCAAATAACATAACAATTTATTACTATTTTTATGTATTTATAGATATATAAAAGGGTACGTTCAAAGTATTTATTATCCTATCGAAGAATATTTTACTTTTCTGCATGATGTTACACATAATTTGCGAATTTTCATTAAAAAACGATTTCGATATAAACAAAGGGAATTACGAACAGTAGATAACAAAAGTATTTTGCAAACATGTGCCAATACTTAGTTCATTTCCTCTATAGAATCGAGTCTATCATTCAAACAGCTGTGACATCATAATTTATATTTCCAGATTACTTTTTGTAAAATATGACAAGATCACATGTGAAGTATCAAATTGCCAAGGATACAGATGATACATCAGACTATTTTTTGCAACCTGTTCAAGAATATTCAAATGTATCCAAGAAAGAAGTATCCCTTTGGAAAAAAACGTTTAGGATACTTTTACTAATTTTATGTTACTTTGTCTTGTCTGTAGGTTTAACATTTTATGTACAATGGCTTTACAATACATATGTAAGTGAAAACAGAATTTATAATTCATAAGAATTGCTGATTGTCCAATTTTGTTTTAAATCGGAATTAATTTTTCAGGGATTTCATTATCCTCTTATTGTAGTGATATGCCACTTGTTAATTAAATTTTTATTCGCCGCTTCAATAAGATGTATCAAAACATGTTGGGGAAAGCAACAACAATTAAAGCTCCCCTTGCAAAGCATAATAGGGACGATTATGCCACTTGGCATAGCCAGTGGTCTTGATGTTGGTCTATCAAATTGGGCAATTTCATTAATTACAATATCATTGTATGTATCAATAAATAAAATACATTTATTGTTAGAAAATAATTTTAATTAACTATTTTTAGGTACACAATGACAAAATCCACTGCTATTATTTTTATCCTTGGGTTTGCTCTTTTCATGAAATTGGAAAAAAAGGTAAAAGTGTTTATATGTACGAGCACACCACATGAAAAATTTAAGGATGTATTGGCTATACAGTCAATCCCAAAAGTTTATGCACTTTACAAACTCATTTTTTAAAAAGAAATCAGACGTCGGAAGAACATTGCTAATAATAAACAACAACAAAAAATTTTCGATTTTTCCAAGATTTCCCTTAAGATTTCGCGAAATTT